TTCTTTAATTGTTTTAATGATGAGGTCAGAGTGAACAGAGCCTACTTTTAACCCTCCTTCCTGTGAGTCGACTATGACCATGTGGATCACACTAACAGCAGAAATATCTCTGTTTGAACGCCTGGACAGTAATGTATTCAATATTTGGCTGCTAACAATGAGCATGAGTTTTCATAAACCTAACCCCTAAGCCACGGTCCATCTGAATCAGAGCAACTAGTACCCTACCTGGACAATTCTATACATTACTTGTTTAAAAGGTCTATGGGCTTCCTTTCTTGTGGTCACTGTGTAAACTTTAAGCACTGGGGTTCTTCCTTGTTTGGTTAAAATTTGGGAAGTCCAAAATTGGCTAAAATGTTAGTAATCTGAAAAATGCCCATGAAGCATGCAGAGGTACATAAGTGTTATTACTCACTTCCTAGGCCTGTGCGTAGCCTTATCGCCTCACTATATGGACCATCACCAGCTGCAGTACGTGCTAGGACTTGGAATGAGTACAGTGTGCAGGGTACCAGTCCGCTGATTTCAGCTTGCCTCTCATACGAAGGGGTGTTTTCAGTAATATCTGCCCCTCCTCTTTCTAGATCCAGTAGTCGGTACCCGTATCCTGTGATGACACCCCGGCGACCCAGGCAGGGTGGTGGCTGCCACTCGAACCTCAGTCCTTGTTTCTGCCTTGATGTGTTGATAACATCACTTGGAGGTTCTGTGGGCACTGTACAAAAAGTCATACTACATAATTGCAAATAGATGTACGCGTAAATGCACTACCTCATCAATAATATCACTCAACTGAGAGCAATTCAGTGAAAATCAACGGAAATCTCGCCAAAAAGAAACGTATAAACTACACATAACGTTTATGTATTTGATTGAGTGTGTTCTTTGAAGCGCGTGAACACACAGTTCATGTTTTGAAGGCATTCTAAATAATGCATTCAAACACTCAAAGACAAAAAGTTTCGAAGACTTTGACATATTCGCATTGCGTTTGTGGAGATATAAATATCTGCCTGGCGTTTTTGATTAATTCTTTTTTTCTTGTTCATTCTTTTTACTGCGGAATGGATGTAGGACCAATATGGACGTAGGACCAATTGTGAACACCAATGATATGTACCGGACCAATGAAACGCTGGATCCATGGCGCGCAGGACCGATGGAAAGTAAAATCAATGGAACGTTGGAGCAATGTTACATAGGACCATTGGCACGTAGGTCTATTGATATGTAGCACACAGGACCAATAGTGCGTAGGCCCAATGCGCGTAGGCCCGATGGTACGTATAGGTCCAATTAACAACACGTAGACCCAACGGCACGTGTAGGTCCAATGGCACGTAGGTCCGATGACACTAAGGACCAATGGAACTTACAAAAAAATGGCATGTTGGAGCACTGGGACTTTATTGATTTGTTCCCATCCCTGATATGTAATTTCTACCTGCTTCTGCTGTGATTCCATGAACAAACAATTCATCTCCCTCTCCAGCTGATGTCCTGGCTGCTACATAAATGGTGTAATTAGAGTACGGTGAAAGGCCCGTAATACTGTACTCAGTGTCTGCCGTTGTCCCAGCAACTATTCGATTGCTGACCTCGGTTTCACAATTCACCATCCGAGTCAAACTGTAGCTCAGAGTGTAGTCGGTTATGATACAGTTGGCAGACGGTCGATTCCAACTTACTTGCAGCATTGTTGGGTAGCCATTCACAGCATTAGCAGACAGACCCAAAACTCATTTGGAAAATACAGAGAAAAGAATAAACCAGAAATCTGTGGACTGCTAAGTATTGGGGGACATGAATATAGGCGTAAATGTAGTTCGTTTGGTACTTTAAAACACATGCTACACTTACGGTCACATTACATTACATTAACGAACTGGGTGTTGTTACTGAACGAAAAACTAAAATAAGCTCCACTTGCTGTTTATCAAAATCACCGAAAGAAGTTGGACTTGTCTCTCTTTTCAAAATTTGCTTTACACTTGCTCGACACTGTTGCCCTCAAAGTGTCGAGATTTCTAATAGATAAACATTTCAAAAATACACACAAGCTTTCAAGGCCAAACACCAATTCAGATTGGTGAGGTTTATAACTACATTCATTTGGAGACTTACCAACACCGCTCGGGGTTGTCACCTCTTGAGCACTGCCGTAAGGTCCAAGGCCAATGTCATTGATAGCAGCCATCTTTATACTGTATGGTCTACAGGGTTTAAGCCACCCCGCAGTTCTTGTTGCGCGGTAATGAGTAGGGTGAGACTGGGATCCACGAATGGAGATGTCAGTCACTGACACGCGATATTGATAGGATGATGATGGGCCGTTCACCTCATCACACGGGATTTCATTCCAGGAGTAACGTAATGTAGTGGATGTAGTCTCCAGCACAGTCACTGTTGGTAGAAAGCTTGGCTCTGTCGGCACCAAAACACAAAATACAATCAGTTATATTGATACTGAATAAATATGTCATCTGATAGGGGGCCCACAACCATGCGTTACTGATTATTGAGAATACCCCTATCAGTATTCATCATGTTATCCAAGTCTTACAGCTTCAAGATGTTATGGGGCATTGTGGCAGCTCTTAGGACGTGAAAATCTGCAAAGGTTTCGACAGGCCAATGGTGGGGGTGAATCTTTACACTACAAGTGCTGTTTAATCTCGGTCCAATTTCTTGATCCTCATCTTCTAAACACCGCTGCTGCGGTGGTGATAAATTAACACCTCAGCAACATCAGAGGAGTGCACCCGACTGGTGTAGTCTTCTGCAACACCAAGGGTGTTAAACAGACACCAAATAAACATCACATTGTTTGCAGCATGTCTTTTCAAGTAAGATATAGGGAAAAACTGACAGGAGATTTATTTATTAATAATTTATTTCATGATTAAATAGTGGCTTTGCATAATTTCTGAAATTATGTTTGTCGGCTTCATTAAGAATACAACCAACCTATTGCACTGGTTTCTCCATAGGCCTCCAGTGCAATTGAATACCCCGCTGAATTGCCAGCAACCACGGACACCGAGTACTCAGAGTAGGGTTTCAAGTTGTCCAGGGTCTCAGAAGTGACACTGCTTGCAACAGTTTGGGAGACGGTAACAGGATTGGAGATGTTCGTGCTACATGCTTTTATCCTAGTCAGTGTATATCTGATGATGTAGGCATCAACTGGACAGTGGTTGGCTGGCTCAGTCCATGTGACTACAAGTTGATTGTGAGAGGTACCGACGGGTTGGGAAATTTGCAGTGAGCTGACTGGATCTGGGGCTGTAGAACAACACAAAACAAATCACAGACAGGATGATCGATCACGTTGTGACCACGTAGTGCAGTGTTTTTGTCGTTGCCTTCTTGTGGTGTCCTGCTTAGCCTAGGTGTAAGCCAAATCGGCCAGGGGCTGATATGGGTATACATTCTACTTATTTGAGCTTCCTGTTAAAATTTCGGTTTTTTTTTCATGAAAGCCTCAAAATATTCCATCATTTCATCTGGGTACGAGTACATCAAGTTTGCATGTATCCAGTAATACTTCAGAAGTGAGAGGTCAGTTTTCGGCACAACATTTCTCTTTCAAATAAGGCAATTAAATATCTACAGCTTCCGTAAATTAACATGCTAGTGACCACAGCACCAAGGGCTTTTTTTGAAGCTGAATTTTTATAAAGTAGGGAAATGAACTTCGAATATAATTGCAAACTCGACATCTTTTGGGCAGTTTTTTTTCAAGCGCACCCGGATCAGGGTTTATTTTAGGGTTCAGCACCTTTTGAGCAAAAGCATGATGAATTCTAGCAGTTGTATTTAAGCAGCCACATCTCGGGCATTTCCTATTTCAAAGTACTAGATTCAACACTGGAAATAAGGAAGCAAGGAAACCCGACGCACTCACCTTCTTCCTCAATCCTTAGCTCAGCCAGTTGTAAGCAATTGTTCGAAAGCTCCACACTGACGTACCGAGCCCTAACGCTGGGATTGGCCACGAAATGAATCGTCTGTCCGTCAGGAGAGGCTTGACTGGAGCTGACCGCCGATCCGATCTGTTGGTTCTGTGAGTGAACTGAATTCACCCCAGCTCTCACTACGGCTCCGGCTAATCGATCGCCTGCGATGACAGAAGATAAACAACCCTCAAAACTTCAGCCAAAGCGTACGAGACCAGCTACTGGGACTGCCACCAAGAGTGCATTTCCAAAACCAATGTACATTTTTGAAAATTTGTCTTTACGACATCTTTTTGGAAGCTCATTTACACGATAAAGTTACAAGGTCACGAATTATTTAATTTCCAAGAAAAACTCGTTGAATTTAAGCTGCTTTAATGATGACATCATAGCTTAATGGTTGTCAAGTTAAAATATTAACAACGTTAAAATCAATTACATCGTAGGTTCTAAGCCCCGCCAACTATCTTTCCCTTACCGGTATGCAAATATAATATAACTTAAATCAGGGTTTCTTAAAAACAAAATAATTTTAAAAATTATCTCTACAAACAAACTTGGGAGATCTGTAATTCCTCAAAAAGGAAAACAACCAAAATCTAAACTTGCTCCTCCGAAAGTTTACTGCGACGTCCAAGAACACCTTTAATGATTTACCATAAAGGTGTAAACTTTGGAAGTTGAAGGAGCATTAATGGTATTATGCAAGCAAATATGAACATTCCCGACTCATGCAGCTCTTTCACTGATGATGACTGGGTGCTTCTGCTCGGGGCAGATGGGGACAGATGTAGACTTGGAAAGAAAAACTTCTGTTAATTAATAATTAATGAATTAATTTTCGACGCTGTTTGATTCTCTATACAACAGAAAATAATGTCAAAGATTAAACAAACTACCCTGACCATAGTTGAGAGAAAGAGATTTTCATTCTGGGATTATTCTGAGATTAACTCAGCGAAATGTACTTTTTATACAAGCTTCTTTGTCCTTTGGGAGTTTGGAATTTTGGTGATTGCCTACTCCCTTTAGCAAGTACATTTTCTTGATAGAGGATGGTTCTTTCATTACTCAGTTCAGCAAAGTTCGGAAGCCATAGCAGCAGGGCTTGCAAAGACTTTATACATTCCTTTCGAATGCAATCTACAGTGCCTTACCGTATCCGTCGAGTCTATTGACAATGGTGATCCTTTCCACGCAGTAGGTAGTTACAAGATCAACTCTCCACCACTGGTATCCGCTACACTCTGAAAGAATTACAAATTATGATCTCTTCAGGGGATTTGTCTGTCACTGCTGTTGCGTGTGCTATCGCAGTGGTGTGTGTAGTCTTGGCCCAAGACGTCAGTGATCGATAGCCGATCGCCGCTTGCGCGGGAATGTTTTTGTAAATTGGGACGCCTTCTAGAGCACCCAAAGACTAACCCTACCAGCTCACACTAATGTCTTGGGAATTTGTAGCACTGGCTTATGTTTTTCTTTGTTTTCCCCAGCTTTTCCTGGGGAACCAATCAACAGCAATTATCAATATATGCATATACGTTCATGACGTCATTCGGCCGAGAATTGAAAATAAAAATGGCGTCCTGATCTAGAGGCCTGAAAATTTCCGCATAAAATGTCGTGTTTAGGTGGTTGTAACACGCCAATAGATAATTTGTACAACTTTCCTGTAGTTACAAGACCTTCCAGTACTTAATTCCTCGAATCACCACACGCACACTGCATGCACCGTTCACGTATATGCTCGGTCCGCGTAATTTCCTTTTCTAGGATGGTCAGAGGCAATTATCTTATATGGGCGTGGTTAACTGGGAGCTTGATCAATAAGCCACTTGCGAATATAATTTCAATAAAATCGGGTACACTGTGTTATCTGATTGCACAGAAACATAACAATTTGAATTCCCCCGACTAAAGACACTGTTTCTATACCTCATGATTCGGGGCAAGCTTTTGCATAGCGACAACCATCTCTGGAATGGACTGGTTTCTTTGTGCAGTTCGTATCCATTGAGAACAGTGTATTGTTGCAAGGCCTCTCTTATGTAACTAAGCAAAAGCTTGCCTCGAATCACGTGGTATAGCAACAGTGGTTTTAGTACGGAAAATTCAAGTTATGTTCTCGTGAATTTAAATAACTCAGTGTACAAGATTTTATTCAAATTTAACTCGCAAATGGCGTATTTAGTGCACAATTATTATATAGTCTCGCCTCAAGACCACACAAAGCAATGCAGGCTGTAACAAAGATATACCCAATACAAATTATCCCTATTCATTTAATCAATTAATTTGATTCACTTTTGTCCTCTAAATGTACTTCTGTCCTATAAACAGATCGGTTTCATACTTTTATTTTCGTTTGGTCTGTTGTACTTATAAAATCATAAAGGACGCCCCATAAGGTTCACTGCGATTTCAAACCATATAATTAAAAAAAATCTAAATGGGTGTACTCACGCGTGTGTGATATTGAGTAAATGTCACCATCCACGGCTTTGGAAGGGTACGCATCGTTATAATTACTGCTTTGACTGACGTGTTTGTCCTGCAGGTTGATAACAGCCAAGCCTGGAATTGGAAACAGGGAGAAGTTGTTCTTATAGGTCATATATCTTTGAATTCGCATTGTTTTATTTGCTTTGAGTTACCAGTAAGTAGGTAGGTAGGTAGGTAGGTAGGTAGGTGGGTGGGTTTGTTTGTTTGTGGGTTGTTGGGGTGTTTGTTGGGTTGTTTGTTTGTTTGTTTGCTGGGGTGAAAGTTCCTTAATTATCGGCTTAAGCACGTTTGAAGGAAATCTACCAAAACGTGCCATTAATGATGCCCGAAATCTTTTGTTTAAAATGGACAGTCGTGGTTCAACTTCGTACCTCAAATTTAAAATGTTGTGATTTAATATTGAAACACCCTTGTTCCACTTTCAAACGTTGCTACCGCCCATTGTGCTTACAAAAGCCCGTTTATTTATACAGACTTGTGGTAGAAACAAGTGAAATATCTCTCGTGCGATGGTTTTAAGAAGAACCAGTAGGGTAAAAAATATCTGCAGTTAGGACTTGAACGCTAGATTTCAGGTTGCACTTATAGTAGGCCTACGGACATAATGTGATGGGCGTTATAAGTGTGAAAAGCTTGTGGATGGACTGAACCGTGCGGTAATTCTTCTAAATAAGAAATTATTAGTCTCCATTAGGGCTACAAAACGTTTTCACTGGTACCCAACAGATTGCTGGGCTGTTGTTCTCGCTCTATATATTTTGGACATGTAAAGCGTTCAAAACGCACAGAGAGGTTAAGTCACACATATCATTAAAGATCTGGTGCTCCCTTCTGAAGGATGGAGGAAACGAAAAGGTCAATGCCAAAAGAAAACGGATGTGTCCTGCTCTCGACAGTTCCTACAATATTATTATCTAGACTTCCAATCGCACAAGGAAATGTATCCAAAGATCACACTGCAACGTTTAGCCGAACAGTTGTAGAAAAAGCAATGAGTTGTGAAGAGATCATAACAAAAGCCCTACTCCCCTTCAGCCTATTCCATACTCACCGAGTATAGCTTGCACGATTTCGTAGGAAATCGATTCGATTGAGATGTGGGATGACGGCGGGGAGAAAAGTCTATAAAGAAGATCAATAGTGCTGGGAAACAAGTGTCTACTCAGAGACCTGATCAATTCAGTTGATCAGGGTTGAAAAAGGTTATCAGCACAGCTTATAGCTAATTCAATTTTAGAAATAAATTGTTTCCCAATAATTTTTACCCATGTAGCAACTCGCACATGAGCAGGGGTCAGATAGATCAATCATGATAAAATTGGCTGAAAACAGCCCAAAAAGGCATAAAGAAGCTGAGCTGAGAAAATCTCCTATATTTTTGGGCACAGCCAGTGAGGAAAAAAAAATGAAATCCAAAACAAAAAACTGAAATCAGCTAAAAGGCTGAGAACTCTCACCTCTGCATTAGGCACATACCCGATATTCAATAAATAGAAATTCCCCAAGAAATAGAGTTGCGAGCTTCAAGATTAAGCTTTGGAAATAGTGGTGTTTTTATGAAATTTGATCACGGCGCGAAATGCACTCGTTCAGCATTAGGGGTGGTGGACTTCACTCGCTGTGAGCTCATTTCCATGACAAACAAAACAGCACAGAAGGCAAATTCCACTGGCATATCGGATGGTGTTACTCACTTGTTGGACTGACATCTTAGAACGACTCACCTTGATCAGGAATGAAGAAGGCTATGAGTAATGTTATACCAAGATGGTACCAACAATCTCGATAACTCAGCATGGTGGTTCGCTGAATCTACAAATCCCTCTGATGCTACTGCGTTATCCGGACGCGTAACACCTGTGGGTACTCTAGGGACGAACGAACTTTGAGTAACTTATGTTGTTTTTCATAATAAAGAGGAAGTTCGTCAGCTCGGGTATTCTTTGATTGCTTTCATTTTGTCATTTTGTTTGATGCATCCGGGTCTGTTTCTTGGGTCAATGTTTGGTACGTTCTCACATTAGCAGTTTAGCTGTTCTCACAAAGCTGTAAACGTCACATGCAACAGCTGCGAAGAATTTGAATTTCTAAGTGGAAGTTTTTCACACAAAACGTAATTTTCAAACTTCTTGAAAAAGGACTTTCATGATCAGCAGTTTCAGTCTTGGACTATATGACAACAAATATTATAATTATTTGTATTGAGCTTTTTTGGCCAATCAGAATCTGGTTTGAAGCTCATACATCCGCAGTGACCAATAACATTCATTTTCCGTGTGGTAACCGGTGCCCTGTTGAAAAAGAGAATTCAGGACAAACATTTCTTTGTATTAGCTATTAACCTTTGTTTTTTATTTTGATTTTTTATTTGTTGCTTGCATCTATCTGTGACTTGATGAACAGGTACGACAAGTTCTAAAGAAAACAAGGCATTGTGTTGCCTTCCCCGACAGACGAAGGAAAAATGTCTACGGTTTGTGTAATCCCAATATATAACACGCGATGGTTTAACGGCTTATCTTTTTACAGAGAGTGTGCTTTTTTACTGTAACGCTTCATCGTCTTTCGGAAACGGTCGATCATCAGCCTAAAAAAAATGACCGTCATGGTCTGCACGTGACACAGAAGCAGATGTTCATAAGATTAACTTCACTCGATATCACCAACCAAGCACGATGTGGAAAGATCCATCAGCCTGTTCCTAATTTAGGCCTACTTCCCCATAAGACTGAGCAGAAAATGCATTACTAGGCTGTCACCCAATCCCACGATGCATTGCAAATGTTGAAAAGCTTCTGTTGAATATATTCGTTGATGTACATCGTGCAGGATTCTTTTAAAAGTCTTTAAATCAGGCAGCATTGATGAGTCAAATCTAAATCAACCTCACGCACCTTGAGTGGGTGGTGCCTTAAAGTGCAATAGGGTAATACCTGGCACTGTCGCGTTTGGTTACTTACTACTAAAAGTAAATACACATTTAACTTTAACTACTTTGTATTATAATTACAAGGTATGAAACTATAACGTAATACAGTATAAGCCAACTATCATACTGTTTCTGTAAATACCAAAGGCATTTTGACCGTCAGTGATCACGCCCTAACAGTGGCATTTTGTGCGCAATGGTGTTTTCCTCTTACCACAAACCTGAACATTTCTTCATTTTCTCCCATGTATTGGTTTCTTTAGGCTCGAATGTCACATAGCACAGTACCTAGGGCACTTCTGAGGATTCTTTTGATTTCATAGCAAGAAGTAGTTAAAAATAACTTTGGGCTTTGTAACGGCAAGAGATCAAGCTACTCCTATTAACAGATCATTCATACTCACAAGTGCAGTAACTTCTACCCCAAATCTGGGAACACAGGTTATGAATAAGCCAGGCAGTGCGAATTTAAAGTATCCTTAGCTGAGACTCTGAAATGACTTTGGTGTGTCATGATATAATTTTTATTTTTCTGTTTCATTTGGCAAAGAAGCAAGGGAAGATACAGGACCAGTCTTTGGGAGAAGCAATTTTTACGAGAGGGATTTTTTCATATCTTTGGTGGTCTTTCTCCTTTTTTTATAAGCTGGCCTTATTGGAAAGGAACCAAATAGCACTGCCAGGTTCCCTTTCGTTCCATGTAAAAAGTAAACATTGGATCCCTTTGGGGGATTGGACATAGCATGTTCCAAGTTGTAGCCCCCTCCCAAGATCCCTCAAGTTAGGAAATATTTTCTCACCTACCTGACAGATCACTGTCCTGATCGCGATCCATATGAAACAAACACAGCATATGTTTCGGTGCGACTGCACCTTGCCTGGGACGAATGATTCATTGACACGTGACAAGCAACCCGCCAATAAACTGACTTGGATTTTCCTGGTTTTGCATAAAGAAGGATTATATACAAATTCTTCCAACAATGACAGGGTTCTAGACAACGGTAATATTGCTGACTTAGTTCAAAAGTACCGATTGCTCAATCTTGTTTAGAAAAGAATTACTCAATGTTTAAAACCTAACTGTGGCATTTTGAGCAACATGAACTGAAGAATTTGTCACAAACTTGTAAACCTTTTTTTACAACAGCATGCTGTCCAATAAACTGTTTCAAGGAAAACTCATGCATAAATATTCAAATCTGAGTATGTTTGACAATGCTGAGGTATACCATTATCTTAATACATCACATGCAAAAACAAGTTAAGATCGATGAAAACTATAACAAGATCATTTCACTGTTCTTATGAAAAACGGATATAAAATGGTGCATTAGCAAACTATAAGCAGAGCTATAAACTACTCAACGCCATCATTATCACCTGTAATATTGTCAATTTTGTCTAAGCATTTCATTTCTGTTTACAGGTGACGTCACTTTCTGTGTATACGCAACATACTTGTCACTGGAATGTACTTCTCTCAGACAATTAAAGGCTAGTTACAGTGATTACCGTTCATAAGCTTTTTTTAATTATGTATCATTCGCTGATGATTTGTAACTTCCATCTTCAAATTTCTTCTTGTGATTCCAGTCTACTCGTCCTGGTATGGGCGTATGTTTGAGTAATGCTGTGCCTCTTTCTTCGATGGCACCTGTATGTATCTCTGACAGAAAAAAGTGTAAGCCATCCAAATTTCATCATCAAAAATATACCCTTTTAAAGTTTCCAGGTAAGAAAAACAATTATTAAATACGAAATATAACAGAGAGCTTGGTGGTAATTAAATGAGAGTTATTTCTGCCACTGAAAGTCCGTGGAAAAGTGAAAATCTGCTTCAAACAGTCTTACTGAGGTGATGCTGAAATGTATTTCTTATGTACATGCGATAAGGGGCCTCAATTTACTCACCTGCTGTATGTGGCCCTTGGTCATCCGCTCCAGGACCGAGGCCACTTTCTTGAACGGAGGACGATCTTTCGGGTTCTCCTGCCAGCATTGCTGCATCAGTTCGTAGCTTCGCGAAATTGACAGGAAAAAAATCAATGTTGTTCAACACAGAGGTTACCACTTTCCACAAGCCATGACAAACACTGGCCTTATTAATTGGCGCATTTACACCAAAATTTGTCATAACGCCTTGTCCAATCACCCAAACCCAAAATCAAACCGGCTCGTTTGGAAATAAAATGATCTAAATTTCCTACATTTTGTTGCCGCAACCGGGTGGTTTGTGTAGGCGGTATCCATTTTCAAGCCTTGTTCCCAGGCTGGTAGATTTGATGCCAGCGTACGGTTCTTCGCCTAAATCAAAATATCACATGCAGTGATGAAATTATTTTTACCGACATTAATTTCTTTGCAAATGGAAATACTTGAATTTATAAGAAAGCGCAAGAGGAGCGCTTTCTTTCAAAAGCATTTCATTCATAGAAGGAATAGTTGCAAAAATATGTACTGTCAGCCGGGGTAACTTTGGCTGGATGTTTCTGCTTTTCCAAAAATATAAAATAGGGCCTTTATTTGAATCTAGTAATAGCAAACATTCATCAACGACATTTGAGAGTGAGTTAGAATTTAATTAAGTGCTGCCAAAGGTTTGGGGGGACTTTCGCCATTTACTGAATTCAATGATAACACATAAAAAGGATTACAACGAAATAATCTTCACACCCAGCTAAAATGTGTACTTTATGATAAAATTACTTTCATAGAATCATTTGAGAGAATCTTATATCATTCATATCGCGCGTTGCGAAGATATGACGGCAACAACCAACGGGTGTGGCTTATGCCAAAATTACCCCAGTTCACGCAAGTGTTGATTAATAATCAATGTCTGGTCTATCGTTGGTCATAATGCCAATGGTATAGACTGCGGCTGAGGTACATTCGTCAATAGGTTTATCGGGAACTCGAGTTGAACAGAAATTGTCTGAAATGAATCTAACATATGTATCTACCATACTGAAGTAAGAAAAACATTAGGCTACCTTTTGTTGGTATAAGTTAGCACAAGTTAAATAAATAACTTACCCATGGTAGCGACTTCCCACAGAAGAATCCCGAAAGACCAACTGTATCAGCAAAGAATCAGTAAAGACTGAATCACTTATGGTAAATTTACTATTTAGTAAATTTCCCATATCGTGGTCAATTGTTTAAATTAAATACTTCATTTAATCAGAAGAACTTCCACCTCCAAATCGTGTTGCCTTTATACCTAGAATAATTAATCTGGCAATTCTACACCCACCGGGTCATTTTTACCCTTCCGTGCGTCCGGCTCGATTCCTGGCGTACCAAAAATCTGAAAATTCTTCACTGTCAGGCTTGTAAGCATATACACTACTTGGGATGTACTTACACATCGCTCTTGGCAGTGTAGGTATTTGTTTTCAAGGATTCCAAGGACATCCAGCGAGGGGGAGGAGAAACCTGACACAGAAGCAGAAAAGAAGGTATATCAGTACTGAAGAGTTAATTAATGTATTCTGTTAGAGCCATGAATATGGCAGATTGGTCTTCATGTTCCACACAATTAGTTTGACAGTGTCACAGCTGTTAACAAATGATGTCATTTAAAAGATCAAGCAGCATTTTAACTGTCAGCTAATCTGCCATTTCTACGGGAGTTGCCTTTTGATGACAGGCCAGTTGTTGGCAATTACCATCTTTGGTTTCTCGACGATGACCTCTGCGCATCTTGCTAGTCCAAATCCTGATATCTTAGCAACCATGTTGTCATCCAGAAGAATGCTTGCCGCTGCCACCTTACGATGGATCACCTGGAAGGGCACAAGAAACAGTTCAAAAGGCATTCACACATATGATTTGTTGTCATGCACTGTGTCCTGTTACAGAGTCCACACATCATTGTCATTTATTCATCAGGTTTTTTTAAATCACTGTGAAGTATAATTTATTTCAGGAAAGTTGAGAGGTACTAATTACTGAAACGTTCCAGAAACACACCCCAGAAGCAGCCACGTGCTGCATCCCTTTGGCCACGTCAACAGCAAACTGCAGCAGTTTGGTATCGGATAGGGACGACTGACCCACTCCCCCCTCGGGTCTTGCTTCTCTCAGGTAGGTACGAAGGTCACCATTTGACAAGTATTCCAGGGCCACGTACAAGACACCTGTTTGTAAGTACGTAAAATTAAATTTGAAATATTTTGCTTTTCCAACGAAAAAACAATGCCCTTTAAAGATACATATTTGTACTTTCAAGGGCGGACCCATCTCAAATTTTCGGGAAGGCCAAACTTGTTTCGGGAGCTAAAAATTGGAATTTGCTTCATGTAACCTCTTATGGCCTTCTTTGATGAAGCTCATTTGGTGCCTTTTGAGCTCTTTTGAAAGAAAAGAAAATAAGTACACTGAAAATAGCCTCTGCTACACCGCCCATTGGCCTTTGTATACATTTAGACACACATTTGATGGTCTCGTCTCGTCCAGTCACGTCTTGTAGCGGCATTCACAACAAGTACCACTCTTTAAGTTCTGTCCTTTTTTGACGGAACCGGTACGTTGCTAGACTACGTAGTAGTGCTATTTATGGAACGAGATAAACTTAATATTGTTTTCTTCTACAAATAATTTCTTCACAAATACAGACAATGTGATATCAAAGAGACATGACCTTCTTGGAAAGCCACAGCGAGCATGCTGACAATGTTTGGGTGTGACCCAATATCTGTCAGAGTTTGGTGTCCCCGGATGAATCTCTCTTTCTCATTAGCCGGTGGATTTACTTGATAGCAGAAAAAAATGAGTGTGCGGTTAGTGTCTTCACAAACGTTATTTCAGTAAGCCTTGAATTGGTATTGTTGCTACAATGTAACGCCATTTACTGGCATGCCTCATACCTTCTATAAAGCACTTTCTATTGCATTACTTCGTTGGTGCCAACATTTGTTTGGGCAATACCAAGTAACTTTAAAGGTAAATTTCGTAGATAGGTAATGAGTATAAGCATTCTTATGCCACTAGACCCATTTTGCTGGGAACTTGAGCTAACTGCTAAAGTTCTGAGAAAAGCTCTAGTTGTATTGACTTTTGCATTAGTTCTTCGATCCGGGTAACAAAATCTGTAAATTACATTTTGCTCTCTACACAAAATGCAGAAGTCACCAAATTTTTAATCTGGGGCTTTCAGTCGGTGCATTATAACGTATGATTAAAAGAACTACTCTCACGGTTGGGGGGTTACATCAACATAAAAATGATCCAGTTGAGCAGTTATAAAATGAGCAGGTATACTTACGTCGGACTTGCTTTACGGCCACTTTGAAGTGACCATCACTCAAGAGTACAGTAGCCAAACGCACCTCTCCAAAGTGACCAGTGCCGATCACTTGGGTACCCAACGACAGCTGATCAATGGGTACAGTCAAGGACTTGGTCCAGAGGAGTTTCACATCATCGTAATTGGCTGCAGAGTTGGCAGGGGCGTCATTCCAAACGTCTTCATAGCCCTCCGTGTTTACGGAGTCTCTCCCGATAGCTGCCTGCTGAGAAAACAAGGAAACTTTTTCACCGATGTGAAGTTCGTTACTTATTCCTCGTTTGATGTTCGGAATTCAGTGGGGCAAATAACTGAGTACTATTCAATGTTGAATAAATACCAGTTTAACATTCGGCGAGCGATCAGGATGCACACGCCAAGAAACGATGGAGTGCAAAAGGAACAGAAAAACAAGCTACGCCACCATGCACATCCGTTCACACCAACCTTATTCACAAAGTGCATGCAATTTCACCATGATATATACACACACAACTCTCCCCAACAGAGCCAACTCGGAGTGGCAAACAAGTCCTCAGATGTAGTTGACTCATTTTTACACCGACATGATTATTTGAGAAAAGTCAGTCAGTTATACCTGCTGTTTTCATCAAAACTATTTCAGTCAATCGAAAAAAAATATACATCGAATCCACTCCCTTAAACTTATTTTCAAAGTGTTTCTGTACACTTTAGCGCCTCCACTGCCACCATTTTCACGGCAGTTTTCCAAGATCAAAACGGCATAGACTGAAGTCGGCGGAGTTCTTTGCTTTCAAACCGGAGTGAGAAAATGAAAGCATCACACCAAACTTTTCTCAAATCTAATTAAAATACCTGAACCCGCCTGGAGATTATATTGAATCTGACGTCATTGTTCTTCTTAATCAGCGATGATTCCTTGCAACCCGGGGCATGGGGTTTTTCTGGGTCAAACAAGCCCTGAAATGTAGATGGCGCAGGTTGTTTTCTGTCCCTTAATTTCCTGAATTTGAAACTGTTACTAATTCAACATTGAATATCAATTAGTTACTTGTTCAACATTGAATGTCGACCATCAAACAAGGAATAAATTACTAACTTCATACCGCCACCTGTTGGCCGCAACTCGCAATTGCAGTTATCGTTATGCATTCTTATTTTTTCGTTTCTAAAATTAAAGCCGATTGAAAACTTCATTTATCGTACTATATACTAAGGCACGAAGAAATAAATTTTTACCAAATCTAGAAATCGCATTGTTAGGGTTTTTGCTGCAAATGCACTTGAAACCGTGATCAGCTAGCGTGGAAGACCATGCACATGACACCATCAGGCTTACAAAGCCCTAAATTAGTCTTAATAGGCAAAGCCGAGCCTGTAAGTCTCGACTATGGCTTGCAGCGTATGTGTGTACAAGGTTTGATGTAAGAGATATATGCAGCCCTTTCTAAAGGCTACTGGCGAAGGGTAATGTCCAAAACGACATTCTAGAGCTTTTAAACCTATCTTTAAACAAAAGAATCCAATAGAGATTCACCAGGCTGTCCATGTTTACTGCACTCGCTGTAGACCGACGCGTGAACCTCGATTTCCTACTGAGCCTTCGAAATCGCAGATAATCCACGACCACCACGATCGCAATAACCGCAATGAGTAAGCAGACGGCGATAGTTAGGCCAACGTTGGATCCTGTAGTCATTGCTATGGGTTCGTTTGATCCATGAGTTGATGGAAGGGATAGAAAAGGTTTCATTGGTTAAAAGTATGATAAATACACTATTGCCTCTGGGCTTACAACTCTCAATGTTTTGTTTGGGGAACCCAAAAGCATCAGAAAATGCACGCATGGATCTCACCTTGAGGTTCTGTCCTGATTGTCGTTTCAGGGCTCCTGGGTCCTTCCCCTCCGTCTCCCTCACGCACCGCAGCCACACTGAAGTTATACACCGTCAACTGTTGTAATGGATCAATCAGAAAACTGAAACCCTCTGGTGGCTGGTACTTCGCTTGCACCGTGATGACACGCACCCAGGAACCAGTGGAGTGGTTGGCGTAGTAGATCGTGTACTCAATAACTGGTCCGTCTCCAGCATCCAAGGGGTGAGAGCCCCATGCCTCCCAGCTGACAGTGGCCGATTTAATATCAGCCTTTACATTGGGGGGTTGGCTCAGCACTGGTAAACCTGAATGAAAGGCGTTAATGTATAAAAACAATCTGACCACAAACGTTAGCAAACTCATTGAGCAAAAGTAACACGACAGCAAATCTGTCTAGACCTTTACGGCCGGCGTGGGAAAATATATTTGGACACAGGTGTTATGTGGTAGAATCTGAGGCAATTTCTGACTGCTCTAGTAGGTTGAGCAATCTCAGATATTTTTGACATTTTTACGTTTACAGACATTAACTGTGTTGTGAGCAGTGGAATCAAATGTAAGCCTACAAGTTTTATTCGGCAACAAAGTTCTGGGGGACGGACGATGTGATCTTCCCCACTTTACAAAGCGAAGGACACGTCCCTCCGTGCTCAACTAATCGACACTCACGAATGCACTGTAACTGATGACATTAACAGAGCTAAGCTGACCTGGATGAGTACCAGTAAGACTCGTGATCAAAATAAAATTTGAGATTAAAATGCTCATGATCAGAATCTAAAATTAAGATGTGACGCATACGAAACTGGCATATTCCGGTTCCATCTGACTGATACTGTTCGAGGCACAAGCCGCTTTGGCAGGACCCTGTGATAGCATCACACGGCGTGTCATCCCTACAGAGACATGCCTGATTACAGTCCTCACCGAAGTAACCAGACTCGCACTGCCCTGTACACAAACATGACAAACATACGTCCTGAAAATCAATCCTGATGACCGTGATTCCATGTTTCTAAATCAAAAACGAAACCGCTAAACATATATAAGCGATGTCATTCGTCCAACCCTAGTTTATTGTAGTTGCCCACACGGAAATCCTGCCACAGAGTGTAACAATGGCAAACAGGAGATTCTCCTAACTTCACGGTCCAAAAGATCTAGTCAATCTAGCTCTGAATCCTAACATCAACTGCTTCAGCCTTTCACGGGCATTCTCCTCTCGACGAACACATCCGCCACTGTTTGGAACGTCGAGTCCAAAAAGTCTTGACTCATAAAGGAAAAATTTTTTATGTTCACCATGCAAACCTACACGCAAGTCTGAAGCGTTAAGAGACGCATGGCATAGTGTGAAATACCAGTAATAAAGACAATTATAAATGAGAGAATAACATTATTGAATCGAGAAGTTGGGTGACATGTCTTACGTGACACGCAGGTGTATCCTGGGGCACATCCTCCACTGCAGTACCCAGTGTGCTTGTCACAGGCTGCCTTGCCGTTGCAATGGCACAAGGTGACGCAGTTGAGTCCGTAATAACCAAGGGGGCATACATTCGGGACTGTAAAAGATATATTCACTCATTTACTGCCGAATAGAAAGCGTAATATATTACATGAGCTTGAGTTAATGCCGCCCTCCATAGACCTCCGTGACGTCGGAGGTGTAACTTTGGTAATCCTAAGCATTTTTTGAATCCTTTTTCAGTACACTGTGTTTAAGTCATAATGTCAAATCCCTCTTTGGTGGTAGCTATGGCTGCACATGAGACCATTTTAAAATTCAATTACAGCACTTTCACTTATAGCTCTGACTTGCTTCTTTTCTCTTTCTCCTTTTAAGCCGTTTCTTTATCCCATCGCATCTTGTGTTCTTTTTACTCACTTTGGCAGTTAGTTCCTGACCAACCGTCTGCGCAGCCACCAAAGTTGCATTTTCCCGTAAACGAGTTACATCCGTTATCAGTGAATTTACAGTGACATTCTTGGAGACAGTCAGCACCAAATTTTCCGGCAGGACAACCTTTGAAAAAAAGGCATCTGTAACAGTGAAGTCTGGACGTTTCTAGGGATACTATGTGATATACTCAAGGGTATAAACAGCTTAGTGGAGACAACATACGAGCAGTCACCCGATCCGACTACCCATCGCTACTTATAAGTGAGGCTTGTGCAGCAAAATAGCTTGCAAGAACTGCGATGCTGATATATTATCGTATGATAATGGGCAAACTTGTAAGTAAGACTTGTTCGAGCCTTCTGCTTGCAAGTTTTCTTGACGCTGACGGGCCAATTTTTAAGTGTGCCACTGTATTGCATCATACGATAATATATTAGCATCACAGTTAGAGCGTGGCTATTTTGCTGCACAGGCCTCACTTTATAGAACTAGCGATGGGTAGTCGGATCAGGTGATGCAGTACAGTGAGCTTGACACGAAGCAAATTAAGCTTTTGCGAATACAAAAAGGTACAAAAAGACCATTTTAGAAACGGAATGTGACTTTTATCAAAATGAGTAAAAGTAATTACAAACAGAACCATAATCTGTAAAACTGATGTTTTACCGGCAATGCCATACGACGTGGGGCCAGTATACCTGAAGGTAATCAACTAAAACTGGCAAAAATTATGTTTTACTTTTAGCAACGGTTCGCTAAAGATCCTGTTTTGGAACATTGCGCACTTATTATGATTGTTACCATTATGCATCAACCTATAGTAGCAAAGTTTATATACGACTGGTTGGACTCTTCATAATTTACTTGCCTATGCTGTTGTTCTCTTTCAGAATTATTTGGTTATAGAGCTCTATTTGCAAATGCTACATAATTTTCGAACTTTCGTAAAAAAAACACACTTTTCTTGCCATTGAGTCCTCTTTTAACAGAATTCAGCTTAATTCTGGTTTAACTTCATCGATTTCATTAAGTTAATTCGTCTCACACATACCAGATGAACAGGTCCGGCCATAACGACCGCTGATGCAGCTGATACCATACGGATCTGGTAAACTGAACTGAACGTAGTTACAAGAGCTGCCGAAGAGATTACTTCCCCCGCATCTGAATTCACAATCCCAGCCAAATGAATAAGCTGGACAGGCTGTTGAAGTTAAAATTGATCAGAGGGAAAATTGGATCACACATTTAAGACCAATGAGCTGAGTTCCTGACCCTTCCTGTACCTTTTCTGACCTCTTTCAAATCCCATGATCATAAATGAAGTCCCTTACCTGACATTTCGTCTGCATCTTTAAGGAACATTATTTGTCAACGAATTAAAATGTATAGCCTAAAAGAAAATACTAAATATTCACAAGACAAGCAGTTCTAGCTGGAAACAGGCAAGTTTTGATGCGAAATTTCCGAAGCTCTGACAATGTTAGATATCGGTGAGTTTATTACAAGTCAAAAGTTATCCATCAGCCATTTTCCTTGTCAATACTGTAGTTCAGTTTGTTGACATACTATTTTGTCTCGTCGTCATGCAAATACCGCCCTCTGTTTATATCATACCACTGAATAATAGACTATAGCGACGGGCCCACTAACACAGTAGGCTATTACAAAAATGTACCTGTAACACAGTTTGGTCCTTTGAATCCTGGTGGACAAATACACTTTCCCGCCTTGTCATCACATACTCCTCCATTGTAGCACATGTCACACAAGTCGCTACACGCTGGAGGGCCCCACTTGCCGGCAACACAGTCTGTAGTATATAAAACATCACTGATGACACAGACTGGTTTGTGACGGGGTATTGTCATCGTAATTAATTTACAAAGTATTATATTGCAGGCATGATTGGTTTTTCTCCAGTAAGTGTGGGGTCATTAATTTCATAATTTTGATGAAAATGGGAGTTTAGTCAATGATAATATCTGTATCAGAACGAACATGTAGAAGTGACAGCCTTTGATGAATTTGGAAGCGTGGTTGTCTCGAATCTGTTCACTAAAACACCTCAAAATAAGTCCTTCGCTCTGCACAGTTTGTGAATTATGGTAGACCCACCCCTCTTGATAAGCCTG